CCCTCATGTACCTTGCTTACTCTCTCTTCTCTAAAAATATATTTGTCTATTGTTGTCTTCTTGAAGTTTCCTATTATCCATAAGACCTTCTGATAGCATATTTGGAAGAAGAATCAAAGTATTTTCAATGTGCTAGAATTGAGTTCAAATTCTGGTATTGTCACACACAAAAAAATCTGAAATCCAGTAATTCAGAACTAAAGATACATAAAAGCACCATCAGATCTTAAAATCTCAAAATATATTTTGTAAGACTCTTTGGATCTCTGAGACATGTTCAAGGAGTATGAATAATACCATTATTCTTCCTATTCAAAAAATGAAACCTCTCATGTTTCCATGGCATTTACAAAAGGCTACAATTATGAGATATTACATGATGAGATAAATTGCAAAAGCCAATAGGAAAATACAGCTATCTTCCACAAAGTTACACATTAAAGAGCTCTGAGAATATGGGGGCAAATGTCACTATCATGACTTTTTCCAATTTTAAAAGAGTACATTTTGTTTCAATAAAAATATATCATTTTGTTAACTGTATCACCATCATCATTGTCATTAAGTAAATGAAATTCTAATGATGATAATTTCTAATTCAGTTAATATTAATAAATGTAGCTCATATTTTTCAAAAATGAGGGGCCAGGAAATAAGAGGAAGCTTCTTCTTAATCAGGAAAGAGGCAATGGGAATTGGCTTGAAAAGGGAGGGTGGCACATGGTGAAGGGCAGAGCTTATGGACTTCTTAAACCTTCTGCATCGCACATATACTGCCCAGTTTTCCCAACAGCCAAATCCAAAGCAACATCAGAATTCACAATCAACAAACAAGACGACTTGCATTTGGACCAATAGAAGAAAATGCTAAAATGAGAATATCCTTTGGTATGCTTTTACTCAGGCACGAGTGTGCATGCACCTCACCTCTGCTGGTTCCCAGGGGTAGCATCTGAACACTGAGATTGCTTCTTGATTTGAAACACCAAAAAATGTATTGTTTTTAATTTTTTACCTGAAATAGCATTTACTTGAGGCTTAAACAGAGCACCATCCCTGACTTTGTGTCTTTTTTTTCCTCTGGCTATTGTTCTATCTCTTCACTTTTAAAAATCCTATCTGTGATCTCCAAAGTTGTGGCTAGAGATCTCCTGGGGCCCTAGTCTACAGTGTGATGGGATGGCCTTCAGTTGACCTCCCAACGCTTTAATTTCCCCATTGATGAGATGGAGGTAATAATTCATTTTTTTCTTTTTCTTTTATTTTATTTTATTGGTACATTTTAGGTATACAATATAATGACATTCATCATTGGAAATTTGCACCTTT